TATTAGAGATATATCAAAACATTTATATGATATAGTAAATGAATTGTAATCATCTGTAAAATATATTAGCAATCTAACACTCAATTTTGAAACCTAATTCCAAATTCAAAAATAATTTAGAGTGAGTGCAGCTTTTGGATTCAAAGATAACCAGCTATATATTATCCAACTATATATTATTTTGATATATTAAAACATTTGTTAGATGGTATAAACATTTATTGATTGTTAACTTTCAAATTAACATATTTCCAACTTAACTCATCGAAATCTCCGTCTTCAACAATCACTCTCTCAATCTCAGATCCATATTTTTAGAGAAGAAACAAAATTTTTAATTTACATCAACAGATACATTCAGAGAAGAGACGAAACTAAAAATAACTTTGATTTAGATAAGATAACAAGTTTGATTAGTTCTCTCAAAAAAATTGAAACCAAACCAGAGAAATTGATCAGTATGGTTTCTGGGTCGCCAAAACTGCCGGAAAACGACGGTTGCTCCATAGTCGCCAGAAGCTTCCCCAATTGTGAGTCTCGTAATCTCTTTGCTTCTTCATGATCAAGTGCATTAAGGATGGCCTTCATGGCTTTCGATTTCTGGTAAGAGTTAACCCTCTCACCTACTGGTTCATGACCGGCGGCAAAAATCCTTGCGGCAAAACTAAAATTAGACATGTGTTTGGGTTGAACTGACAAGAAGAACAATAAATCAGAACGGGTGTACTGCGAATCAAGAAATTACAGTTGAAAATAAGAATATTTGCAACAAAAAAAATCACAAATTTTACACGGATAGTGGGAGCGTGGTGTAAATGGCTTGAGGAGAGGACAAAAACCGTCTTTGGATTTTTGTAGTTTTGAGATCCAGTCTAACAAGAAGTTTACCTAAAATGTTATATTCGAACCAGATTTATTCGAAGCTGTAACAAAATATCGGCGATATTAACAAATAAGGAAACAATAAATGTTGTATTTTAAAATATAAATAAATATAGTATTATCTTCTTGTTCAATAAAAAATTATTAAATCTGACACACAATCTCGAAATGCAGATGCATGATCTTAGCTATAGGCTCGATAGTATAGGGGTAATGTTGTATTAAAAGAAATAACACAGCAGTGAACTTTCCTTCTTAGCAAATTATGAACAGTCCCAAATATATACGGTACATTTTCTTAAAAAAAATTGTCAACTACCAATATGATTAAATGAAGTTTTCGCCGGTAAAATGGTGGTTTTGTGGAACAACCCATACCGACTCTCTTATACTTACTTGAAAAAATAAGAAGTCTTGTGCCCAAATCTTCTTTGCAAGAGAGTCAGCATAGACATTTAAAAAAAAAAAAAAAATATGAGTTATACTAAAATTTTCAAAACATGAGATAGAATGAATCTATTTCTGAAATAAATACCGGTCTGTCCACCAGATTCTTATCATTCCCACCAAATCTGAACAGTTTGTTATTTTCTTTTAAGCAAGACATAGTCCAATGTAATATGTCCATCTCCTTATGTAATGCCAAGAGATTTCTACGACAACCTTTGAAATCTGAGAAATTTCTACGGCAGCCTTTGAAATCTGAAGATTTCTTTGTGTCATTAAACTTAAATGTGCATATAAATGTAGGATTAACAAATATATTTTTGACAAAGCTATTTTTTTATCAATATGTTTTGATTCGAATGATAACACAAATTAAAAATGACATTACTACTGCAAATCTTGATCAATTTAGCATCGTTTAAAGTTTATCAACTTAGAGTTCGTGTAGTGATTAACGCCAAGAATCATCCAAATGAATTTATGTCTATCTGAGACACATGATTTCGACTCTCCCGTTACGAGCCAATGTGTTTAGAAGGAGAGTATTAGCATATATATATAGCCTATATATATATAGTTAACAAAAAATTGCTTAAGTTTTCAAAACTCTTATTTGTGTCACATTTAGACAGAGATATTAGAAAAACATATACTGTAATGTAAAATTATGAAATTTGTGGAATTCCACAATAACGCGTTTAGATCTCTTTCCCTCGACGACAAGAAAAAAAATAGATCTCTTTCCCTCATTTAGATCTCTTATTTGGCTGAGTTTTTTTCCTTCTGCTCTATTCTCTCACCATTATCTTTCACAGAGAAGGAGTTTTTCTCAACTTTTGATGTATATTTCCGATTAATATCGGATTTCTCTTTTCGTTTAACGGATAATAACTTCTGATCTATTCGGATCTTCTCCGCTTCCGTCTATCGATTTTCTTCTTTGCTGCTTTTGATTGATTTGTCTTCTAACAACTGTCGCTAATCCTTAGTGGAGTGCAAATTGTTAGAGAAATCAGGTTTTTACTGAGATAAAGCAAAGAAATTTCGATTTTCGGATAGTGTTTTAGACTTTTTTTCTCCTCTACAGATGATTCCTCTTAAACTTGAGGTGGTGATGAAAGGATCCTGCGGTAAGAGTTGGGCTTCTTCTTCCGAACTTTGGCATCATCTTTCTCTCAGCTGGGAGACTAAAATCTCCCCAGATACCCTCATAGAAGCCATACATGGCGATGGATAACAAGTCTAGCGTCAAAGATGATCGGCGGTGAGATTTGATCGGAGAATTAAAAATTCTGGCCATTACTTTACGGATTTAATTGGAGGATGAAATAAACGAAAAAGAAACAATGATTTGAAGTGGATGCAGATTCGATTGGAGTTATCATACTCTTCGGATATTCGATTCTCCGGCGAAGCTTTGTTTCGGCGATGAATCACCGACATCTTCTCTCCGGAAATCGACATTCAACCCAGGCTTGCCGCGTGTTGCACATGTGTTTTAATATTATCGATCCGTATCTCTTGTTTTTGGGCTAAGATTGATATTTCGGCGTCTTATTATAATAAGTGTGGGTCTCAAATCTTCTGTATTTTGTTCGTTTAATAGGCTTAGACGACCAAAAAAAAAAGATTTCTTATTTGTGGCTGTCATATGACGGCAAACCGAATCGATATATAATTCAAAAGTTATTTTTTCCATCGCTTTTGGTTGTTCAATTGCTTTTCCGACAATGATACTTTTGTTGATAATTAGTTAATTATATGATATTTCTGTGATTTTTAAGATATAAATATTTAATACGTGTTACTTGGGAAATTATAAAATGAAGTTCAATCATTACTTTCCATGTGGCTTTCACATAAGTTCATAAGGATTAATTCTAATCGCTTTTTTTGTTTTTCGTAAAAATTATAACCGCTTTTAGTTCTATTTTAGTATTCTTTTCTAACAGTCATCTACTGTTAGCTTTAACCGACCAAACCATTTTTAGAGTACACTACGATAACGATCCTCATGTCCTGCAAAATAAATAGTGTTATTTACTAATTAAGATTTATTAGCCCAATTCGGGACTAAAGAAATTTATTAATTTATAATGATTATTAATTTATCGAGTATTAATTTATAAAGATTCTACTGTAATTAAGTCATTAATTTTAGTACTAATGTTTTTTTTATTTTTTTAAATAATATTATTTTAAAGTGTGTGAATTAATTGAATCATTAATTTTAATTTTTTCTCTTTTTTCATTTTCAACGTTTTTATCTATGTATTTTTCAAAATTGCTTTTCATCATTTTTGTGTTTTTTTCTTTTTATTTTTTTCTTTCTTTTCATCGTCTTCTTCATCATTTTGAACTTCTAATTTTTTTTAAAAAATTTTCATTTTTCTTATTTTACATCTATTATTTTAATTTGTTTGGTGTATGTATTTTTTTTTACTTCGTATTCATCTGTATCGTTTTAATTATATTTTGATTTTTCTTCTTTTTCTATTTTTTTTATTTTTTTTATTGTTTTTAAACTTTTTTATCATCGTTTTTTCTTAACTTTTTTTAGTTTTACTATTATTTTCTTTAATAAAAATATAAGAATTATAAATAGAGTATAAATAATTAAATAATTAATTTTAGTAATAATATTAATATTTTTTTAATAAAAAATAATAATTATTAATATATGTGAATTAATTGAGTTATTAAATTTAGTTTTCATTGATATTGATATGGACATCCTATATAAAGAAAAAAACTTTCTAATTATATAATAGATTATGTATAGCAGTAATTATCGCATTACAGTTTCTTAAAATATCTATGAATGCATACTTAAAAACATTACAAAATAGATAGAATTTATTAGAACTGTGGAAGATAACAAAAGCGCACGGAAGCCAATAGATATGCGTGACTCAGTCAAAGGCTTCTCTGTCTATTGTCTACCACGTTTGCTTTTCATAATTTATTTATTACAGTATTTCTGTTAGCCAATAAAATTAGTATTATTAATTTTCCTTTTGCTACTGACAATAAGGATACTTTCTCCAAGAGGTTCAGTTTTTCAGACGAAACGGTCGAATTCCTTTCTTTATGTACACTTTTATGGTGAATAAACCAATTCGATGGCGAGAAAAAATTGATTTGATTTTTCATTTTGGAAAAACTTAGCAAAATAAGATGTAAAAGAGTAAATTTAGTGAAAAGCGATGGAAAGTTATATAGGGTTCTTTTGCCATTAAAAAAAACACTTTCTAAATAATACTTTTTGTATTCATTTTAGTTTTCAAAATTTGCAGATCAAATATAATAAAATTGAAGCTAACATGTAGTAGAACTCGTCGTTACCATTGTCCTTGTCAAATTTGTAAAACTAAAATAAAATTATAAAAAATACTGCATATATAAATATTAGTTTACTATTTACCTTACGAGTTACAAATATGCTCATTTGTGTGGAAAGTAAATTTTGTTTTGTTGGAAATTAAATTCGAAAGGATAATAGTGAAGGAAAAAAACAATTACATACACCGAAAAAAAAAAGGACAAGAAGAAAGAAGAACAAGTCTCTGGTCTCACTATCCGACAAAGACATGTCTTCCAATCTTATTCTCCCATATAATGACTTTTGCTCTTTGGTCAAAAAATCCCCAAAAACCCTCTTCTCTCTCTAAATTGCATTTGCTTTCCTAAAAAATTCTCCCCCAAAAAGATCACAAATTTTGTTGTTTTCCGTTAACCTCTCCGTTTAAATGGCGCCGGTGACGGAGCATCAAGGGTCTTTCCTAAGTCGAATCAGCCGTCGCAATCAAATCGTTTCCATGGACGTTAATCACGAGCAAGAGCTCGAAGAACTCGAAGATTTCCAGAAACACGTAGCTGAGCGTTTCACGGAGTTACTATCGCCGTCGAACACCACCACCACCGCCGCAGATTCGCCGGAATCTGACCCGATTCTCTCGATCCAATGGCTACGGAAGCTTCTCGATGTTTTCATGTCTTGCGAATCGGAGTTTCATTCGCTGCTGACCTCGAATTCGTCTCAGATCTCGAAACCGCCGTTGGATAAGCTTGTCCCGGAGATGCTTGATCGGATTGTTAAGGCTCTTGATATCTGTACAGCCGTAGTCAACGGCGTTGACTTAGTCAGACAAATCCAGCGTCTCGCAGAGATCGCCGTTACGGCGTTGAAACAACGGCCGTTAAGTGACGGAAGCGTTAGAAGAGCTAAACGGGCGCTCACGAGCCTCCTCGCCGCTTTAAACGCCGATAAAAACAGCGTTAGCAGCGGTAGGAAGACAACGACGGCGGAGCAGTGGTCGTCGATGGGCCGGCGAAGTGGCGGCGGAGGAGAAGGGTGTGTGAGCAAGAATTGGTCAGCGGCGAAGCAGATTCAAGCAATGACAGCGAATCTAGTAGCGCCACGTGGCGGGGAGTCGTCGCCGATATATATAATGAACAGTGTGATGGTAGTGATGATGTGGACGCTAGTTGCGGCGATTCCTTGTCAGACAAGTAACGGATTGACGGTTCATTTGCCGTTGCCGAAGAATCAGGTTTGGGCTAGCGCCGCCGTGAGCATCCATGAGAGGATCGGAGAAGAGCTTAAACGGAAGGAGAAGCGTTGTGGTGGTGGTGGATTGATGGAGGAGATGCAGAGGATGGAGAGAATTGGGTTAAAAATGATGGAGTTCAGTGAAGGGTTTAGGTTTAATGGGGAGGAGAATGTGGTGGAGGAAGTGGCGGAGATGGAGGAGATTTGCCGGAAAATGGAAGATGGGCTTGAAGGGTTACAAAGAAGAGTTAGAGAAGTGTTTCATAGGTTGATTAAAAGCAGAAGTGAGATTCTTGAAGCGATTGATCATTGTAATGGTTAAGATAGGGGGAGATTATTTTTTTGAACTCTGGTGTGAAAACCTAATCTGAAAATGCAGGTTTTGATTGTTTTTATTTAATGATAATCTTTGATGTACATAATCTACAGCTCGTTATTACAGATATGTATACACAATGTTCTTTTTTTGGAGGGGGTTTATACTGAGACTGCAAAACTGTAGTGTATTGTGAGTAGACAATTTGATTTTTCTAAATCTCTTTCACCAAGTGGAATCAAACTTGGGAAATAAATAAATTAGAATTTTTGTTTTGTTTTCTCACACTGAGGCTAATGTAATGCTAAAGAAGTGTTGCTTTCACATATATAATTGATTCTTAATATGTGAGAAGAATAATGCTAAATTAGAATTAGCCAAGTATTTGCGGAAATTTAATTGGACGAGAGAATCAAAGTCACCAGTATCCAAGTATCTATGAACTGTGAGATACCTTTGGTTACTTTAGGCGTATCAATGGAGAATTTGAGGTTGAATCAGAAGTGGATCAATATGGGCTTTACTTAGCCCAATATAACTTTTCTATTCCACCATTATGAGCATATCTGCATATCTCTTTTGTTCATGGCCTCTGGCCTACCTACATTTTTCTTACATCACTTTTGCCATTTTGAACATCATAATAAAATTATTTTCCGGCCGTAAAAAAAAAAATTAAAACTGATAAAATAAAAAATATAGTTATAAAGAAAACTTCCCTAGATTATTATTCATTAAAATATTTCATCGTATTATTCAAACTTTATTTCAAGATTTGGTAACATTATTATAGCTTGATTAAAATTTTTTTTTTATGATATTTAATATCAGTTCTATCTTAAAATGTTAAGTCAAGTACAGTCACTTTGATGGAACTAATTCATCTTTCGCTGTTTTCTTATGACATTCCAATATTTCATTGATAAAACTGATTTTTATTTTTTTATGTATTAAATTTGAACAATAGTTCAATTTGTGCTCACTTCAGCTCCATAAAAAAAAGTTTTGTTTACAATACGCTAAAATTAATCATTTTTCCGACAACATAATTCATAAAAATATATCATTCAGAAACGCAATAGTGAAAAAAAAAGACACAAATTTTATTAAAAAAGTACACGGGAAAATTTAATATGATTACAGTTCCACAAACGTGAAAGTTATTCAAACCACATAGAGTCTGTATTGTAAACAGTACACACTCAAAATAGTTTACAAAAAATAAACACTCAAAATAACGCAAAAAAAAAGCTTTTAAAAAACAAAATGAAGAAACACTTTTTAATTAACCACTGCACAGGTTCTTCGAATTTCCCCATCCGACCCGGTTTTTACACCAATCCTTCCCATTTTCTCCATCGACTTTCCGAACTCAACGAAGAAATCTTGCTCAGATCCTCCAGCAAAGCGTCTAACCAGAGCCAACGCAGCCGAATTCATAGTCAACGCCGCGTCAGACTCAAAAAGTCCACGACGTTTCAAGACTAGCCTAAAGTAACTAAGATCGAAGGTGTTTCGACTACCAGGATCCATTTCGACCTTTGTGGTATTGTCGGCGAGAGACAAACATCTTCTTGCTTTGAGATTGTCTGCGTATTCACTGTCGAGCGATGGATCTTGATCTCCGACGCCAGTAAAGTTGAAAAGACGGTTCGAGAAGGAGGAGCAATGAGACACTCCAATAGTATGCGCACCTAAAACGTTAAATGAACTCATTTTGAATCAAACGGCACCGTTTTGTTCTATGGCTTTGGTTCAACCATAATTTTATAAAATTACTAAACCGAACCGGAAGAATTCAATTTTCTTACCGGATAACAAGACTAGGTCCTTAACATCAAGTCCTTGGTTTCCAAAGAGAGTTATAAGAGTCGTGAAGTTTCCAAAAGGAGGAGGGATATTATTCAAAGACTCGTTAGCATTAGAGATACGTCCGTCTCTGCGTCCTGTAGGAACACTCCATGTTGGTCCACCCTAAACAAAAATGTAACCAAGACCGGTTTGTTTTGGTATCAGTGGGTTATAAATTAGATTTATCGAGGTGACAAATATTGTTAGCAGACTTACAATGGCAGCAACAGAGTCTCTAGTAGCGAGAGTGATGATATCGGCACATGAGACTATTCCTGGACACTTGGATTCGAGAACTTTCTTCACTAGATCGATAAAGTCGAAACCTCTAACAGTTAGATTCGGTGGAGATACCTTCTCCACTTGTTGGTTTCTTGATGTCGCGTTGATCAAGATCGAACCATCACAACCCTACCAACACCAAATACATATAATCAGTTACGTATTTTTATATCATACGTATATATGAATAATTAAATGTTATGTTTAATGTATGCTTTAAAATAACTTATTTGATGATACTAACTCAACTTTTATTTTCTATTATTGTAGTGGTTTTCAGACTTATAATCTACATACTGAGTAATATGCAAGCAATTTGAGAAGCTAGTATGGAATTTATATTTATGAATTATGATAAAAACAAAAATGAAGATTAATACCCGAACGAAGCAATCATGGAAATGCATCCTAATAAGACCAGCAGCCAAAGAGGGTACGTTGCCGATATGTTGGTTGACAAGATTTTGTACTATCTTCTCTGCGTTAGGGCAAGTTTTGTCGTAGAACCCTATCTTCAATTGTGCTTCTGAAAAGCTCATAGACCCTAGAATCACAAGAATCGTCACGAAAACTAAAACGAATCTCGCCATTTTGTTTTTTCTTGAGATCACTTAATAAGAAGATTGACTCGACAATGGTTGGAGATATAAGTGTTCTCGAGTTATAGTTATATATACTGTTGGTCGTGAGAGGATAAAGCAATGAGAAGAAGAGAACAAGAAGAAGTAAGCTAACTAACATGTTCTCTTTATTCCTGTTCATGTTATAAATTTCCATTATCATCATAAAGTTATCACTATTTATTATTGTCCTTTCTCTTTGTTATCACTATTTATTACTTTCTATTATATTTTATAAGAAATATGGATTAGTTAATTATGGTCATATATGTACCTGTTAAACTAGTACGTATTGGTTTGCCAAGTTGAAATTGAACAAGAATAGAAATGTTATCGTTACATGTAATTCAAACCGAGCATTCCAATAGGAGTTGTGAATATCTTTCATCAACTGAACAATTGTTTTCATATATAATTTGGATTTTAGTATTTAACTCGCATGCTATTTGTGCAAATATTTGAATTTTATTTACGTTGCTCGTATAGTTGAATCAGCATGCCAGGACACTACAAAATCCCAGAGCTATACATAATTATATATAGTTTTTGCTTGATATTACGTACGTATGGTGGCTAGCTTTTATTAGTCTATCAATTTTTGTTTTGTTTTTATTAGTAGTCTATCTAGATAGCTCGTGCATGAAAATAAAGGTTACATAGATGAGAATTTCGAGAATTTCTATTGTTTCGTCGAAAAATTCGATGAGTTAGTTCATTGTATTTGGTAGAAAAATGATTGCATGTGACATATGGATTTAATAGATTTAAATTATTGGCAATATATTGGGATTAATAGTTGCTGATTAACAACCCAATTAACAAACAACAACTAATCTTGACGAATGTTGGTTTTTTAAGGCAACAAGCAATTACATAATAGCATTTTGATTGCATTTTTTTTTTTTGTTAATGTTGATCTACTTTTTTATGATATATTTCAACTTATAACAAATAACGTTTGCATCATTACGTATTTATGTGAATGTGCATATGATTGAGGCGTAAACTCTTTAATATCTCAAACAAAAAACTCTATATATGATGTATATAACTAGACTACATATTGGGTAAAAATGTTTGCATAGCCAGTTTAAGTATACGCTTTATGAGATTATTATTTTTCGAACCATAAAAAACCTAGTTCAAATGTTGAACTATATTAAACAATTTATAGACTTTTTCTTTTAACTAAATTCGAATAGGAATTATGTGTGCGTTTGTACTTTGTATACGTATATGCAATAAAATACAATCATTTCCATAACTTTTGAAAATTTAACAAATAATCCTTAAACTCAACTTGTTGTATAGTCTTATTAATCATGTCACTAGGAGACCTGCTCCCACCATTGGTATATAGCCGCCATAGGCCCATAAGAGGAGACCGATCCAGGCGTCCACGTTACTGAGATTTTCGAACATTATTTTATCTCTGTTTATTTTATTTAAAAAAAATTCAAGAACATAACGACATTTGTGTTAGTTATCCATATATACATATATATATATGTCCAAATTTTAATATGTATGGATCCCTAGCGCAATGACAACTTTATGTATAGATTAATATACATTTAAGAAAACTTATAACTTAGTTTTTATTTTCCGCTCTCTACCAATGCCGATGCGTATAGTAAGTGGTTCATTATGTTAGTATAGATGTGGCGGTGCTAAAAACAAAATGATTGGAGAAAATAAATAGAATTGGTGAAACAAAAGATGAGCAAGTCGAGGTTGTCATGGTCTGATTGTTCTTTATGAGCCGAGATAGGAAAGTTTGCCTTAAGTAGTTACCCATTTTTGATCCCTTAGCGAATCTCTTAGAGCATTTTAGAAAAGTTTAGAATGTTGTCGAGAAATTAGAATAGTGTAGAATAATTAATGTCCGTTGCTAGAATATTGGATTAATCTTTATGATCAATCTTGAAGATATATTTATAGATACAGTTGAACATCTATTTTGAGAAATTAATAACTTGATTAATTAATAATTTCCTTCGATTTCAACTTACTTTTTCATCCAGTTAATATTTTATAAATCAATAATTCTATAAATTAATAAAATATGTATGAGTTTTAATGTTATTAATCTATAGAATTTCTATTGTATAAAATTAAGTGAGATCTCTCATTTCATTTGGAATCAACCATACATTTTTTAGTAATGGAATATTTACTTTCTCTATAAAAACCTTCACTGATATCTTTCTACATATTTAAGTTCGAGTTGAATGAAGCTAACTTGGCAACCATAAAAAGGGAAAGGTGCTAATGCCGCACATTCTCTCGATTCTCGAATAATGAAGAATCAGACTGTGACAACATGGACATATCCTTTTTTTAAAAAAAAAATATGAACACATCTTAGAGATTACTTAGTTACGTACCATCATACTGAAAAATTAAATAAGAAGTTATGAAATTACAAGAAAAATGAAAAATATAAATATGAATGGTTTATGTTTTACTAGCTTTCGATGTCACTTTCGAAAATCTTTGTTTGGCTACTACATATTCAAAGATATGTTTCCAAATTCAAACAAATCAACCAAGAATTATGTGCAATTTAGCACCGATTGTCCTTCTTGCTCGTTTCCATCATTTTCATTTTTGAAACATGAAATATCTGGATTCATCGTAGCCTGTTGAGAATTAAAACAAATCATAACCGGAAGAAAAACGTAAATCAAGATATTAATAATTATAGACCCTAAGACTTTGTTGTTATAAGCCCCCAAAAACCTAATTCTTAATCCCGCTTAATAAATGAAATTTTTCTTAAGCCTAATAAGAACCTGTTACATAGTCTACTCTCTCAAGCAGAGCTCATAACATATTTACCATTATTTTGTCACTTAGAAATAAGATAACCGCATGTGACAAAAAATTCCTAAAAAGTGTTTTAACATAAACTTAAGCTCAACTTGATACCGAATCTCGTGGTAAGCCAATTGCTGACTTGGCCTACGTCGTGAGTGTCTGGAGTCCGATTTTTCACAATATATATTCTATCTATGTAGTTTTTGGCTATGTACATATTAATCCGTAACAATCTGTCATCATTGATGACCCGTAAAGCGTCACCATCCGTTACACTTTTTTTACCACCGGCCATAAATTAAATTATAAACAGAGTTGTTTTTCTTATTTACAATGATTTTTTTTTTATAAACCCTATGGACTGATCCTATCAGCTCTTATAGAGTAGACTTTTTTTTTGGTTCAACAATTCAACAGACACCATGAGTTTTGAGCGAACTCGAGTTAACGGACCATGAAATCCATGATATTCAAATGGATTTACCACACTACCTGTTCCGAGTTTGAAATGTATTTCGATTAATACCAAAGGTAATTAGATCGCTTGTTACTAAACTACTAAAAAAAAATACTTCCCACATAATTATGTTTTTGTTTCTAGGGTAAATCAACCTAAGTAAAAGTGTTGTAACACCCCCCTATACAGTCCTTCTTACCATTAGGCCACAACAATGCGGGGAAATAAATTAATTCGACGCTACCTAGCACGTTACGTTTGCAGTAACACTTTTTAGAAGAAGGTAACATAGATTCTTGTTTCTCTCCAACTGAAGATTAGTACACTGTAACAGAATAATTGACAGCTAAACTCGCATGATAATGAATAAGAGACTATGCCCAGTTGCCCACAATAGTATTGTACTAACAAAAGAAAAAAAAATTGAAAACAATCCACTTGAAGAATGAAAAGAACAAACTGAGCACGTCAATAAATTAATTTAAAAATAATCTTTTAAACTAGTTTTGTGGTTTGAAAAAATAGCTTTCAAAATGTCTAAAGCTTAATTACTACATATCTCTAAGGAAAGAAACAGCAAAATGTAATTTGTGTGATACGTTGTCTGAAGAGGATTAAAACTCCTACACAATTATATCGAACCATTTCCGAAATTAAGAAAAAAACTACTTTCAATTAGGTTAACAATCAATAAATTTTCTGAAAAGGGATATGAATAAGAAAAATACTCTGCGATTTTCTAAGAGATCAATTGATTTCAGAAAAAATTTCAAAGTTTTTGTTCATTTATGTTTTCTTTTGTTTATGTAAAAAGAATTATGAGTTCTGTGTATGTATATGTATCTTGTTGTGAGTTACTCTCGGCTTCATATGCTCACTTTGGGAGAAAACAATTGGAAGAGAGTGGAGAATAAGTTGGTGATACCTCCTTTTTCCAGAAAGATATCCTAGAAGTGTTTGTATTGATGGGTTATGTATTATGGTAGTTACAATTGCATACAAGGAGAGGAAAATGTCATACAATTAACGACTGATGACGACATGTGATCTATAGTCAGAAATGTTCACTCACATGCAACTCCGAAGTGAGCTTCTAAGCAAAATCTTTAAGACATGGGAGGATTCAACTCTGATATTTTTAAAGAAAAAACTCGCTTACTGCCGTGCTCCTGGTCTTGAGGAGCACACTACAAGAAAACAATCGTTTTCCAACGGTCCATTACGACGGTTTTCAAATCGTCGCAAGAGTACAACGATTTTACGACGATCTAACGTCTAATTTTAAAACCGTCGTAAAACCGTCGTATATAAAAATCGTCGTAAACTCGACGTACAATTTACGACGAATTACGACGATTATACATCGATAACGAGAGATTTGCTAGTAAATGTAAAATCGTCGTAAATTCGTCGCAAAATTACGACGAATATACGACGACTACATTTTGATGTACATGTTACGACGATTGTACGTCGAAAAAGGAGTTAGGTGAAAAACATTTAAAACATGTTTACCTAACAATTGTAGATGAAAATTTTTATCGCAAAATCGTCGTAAACTCGTCGTAATATTATTGTTGAATGTAAAACCGTCGTAAAAAGTCGTCGTAAAAGCGTTGTAAAGCCCGAAATTTTCCTATAAATAGATCTTCATTCCTTCATTCAATCACAACACATCATCATTCAAACATAAGAGCATCTTCATCTTGGAGACCCATTGTAGGTCTCTTAAATTTTAGTATAGTG